TCACGATGTCCATATACTGAAGAGATACAACACATAACAACCATTAACTCTAAGAAGACAGAATGTATGGTCATTAACCAGAGGCGTCGTCCATGATGTGAGTTACAAATTGGTTACGAAAAAAAAAAAAACAAGCAATTGCAGAAATTTAATCGATAAATTTTATAACAGACGACGAAAAATGTCACACAGACATCTGAATTTAAATTGGACAAAGTGAAAGATGCCTTCTCAGATTTAACAAAATTTTAAGAAACAGGGAAACTTCAAAAAAAAAGAATGCCAAAATGTTATGTCTTATCAAACCGCCTAAATTGCCGTGAGTGCTGGGCAATTTCCTCACACATAAAGATGACATGAAAAAAAAAACCCAAAAAACAAAACAATGTGGTTCTATAGGAGGATGCTAGGTGGACCATTAACGGAACTTAATGGTGACAAGTAAATATTTAGGAAAATAGAAACAAACATCATTCAGGGTAATGGCTCTTACAATTTCCTGTCTTTTGTAGCCCTTAGTAAATTTTGTCTTTTGCTATCTTTCCTTATCCACACAAAACACACACACACACACACTTATATATATATATATATATATATATATATATATAAATAAAATATAAAATAACATTTTATATATATATAAATTATATGTATAGTCAGAATACCCATAATGCAATCGTCAACCCACGTATATAAAAATTTCTCGAAAAATAACATACACGTGGCCTGACGATTGCATATAGCAGAAAAACAGACTGTCGCCAAATAAATGTTGAATTTATGTTCACTTTTATTTAATATTCACTACAAACCTATCTCTGATATTGAGCACTTTATCCCATAAATATAGCACACCTTAAGACTATATTTCTTTATATATATATATATATATATATATATATATATAAAATGAGAGAAAGAACAAATGGAGTAAAAATTCACAGTTCGTAGTATTTACTTTTTTTTTTTCTCAATACAAAGTAGAGCAAAATTATTATATTTTTATTATAAGAGATTATAATAAAAATGTTTAAATCGCCTGAAGAAGTACAATCGTAATATTGAAACATGAAAGCTTTTCTGTAGCGATTTAAAATGTTTTTATTATAATAAAAAATTATATTAGTTTAGATGTGGCACAAGACATCTAGTGAGGAGCGAATTCACAATTCAGTCGTAACTGATTTAGCGAGACATGCTCGCGAACCATTGCACTACGTCGAAGTGACCAAATGATATCGTAAGCTTAGATGAGGCACAAAGCCGGAACTATTAGGGCATCCAGTTAGATTCGAACTTACTACTGAGTCGTAATTAATCTAGTAAGACAAGCTTGCTAAGCATTACACCACGTCAAAGTTGTTCTCTAGCCTTTAACATGCCCCTGAGTGTCAAATTTTCTAAGCCCTCTTCCTCATTAGAAATTTCAACTGTCTGTTATTGATTCAATGCGTAAGTGTCCTTTTTCTTTCCATTTTCTCTAAAACTACGTCAGTTCTCATATGTTCAGTTCATAGTATTCTCAGCATCCTTCTGTAGAACTACATCTAACCAACCTCGTTAAGTAGGTTATGCGCAGTTTTACTCTGCTCTATTCTCCTTCAATATGTCGTATGAGTGTCAAATTTTTCATACCGTCTTTCCTCATTATATGCCCTAGACATTTCAACTCTCTCTTTCTGATGTTAAATATAAGTGTCCTTTTTGTTTCCATTTTCTCTAAAACTTTTTCGTTGTTCATATGTTGAGTTCACGCTATTCTCAGTATACTTCAGTAGAACCAAAATTCTTTTATCGCAAGTATCTTCTTCATCTGCGAAGAGATTTTCCAGCATTCATTACCATTTTGTATTATTATGTGCCGTAACACACGCACTCAGATCACATTAAAAAATTTCAAAATACTTACATTTATGTATAACTGTACATACTCCATTCGAATGTGGCTTGATAAATTTAATAAAATCTACCGTTTTGGAATTATTAACAGTGAAATTTGGGGTTCAGTCGCGACGCTGGCGGCAGCCATTACTGGCGTAGTTTGCATACATTCGCTGCGGAAAGCTAAACGCGGAAGACTACGGAACACTAAGCGCGGAACTGATCTTTCTTGTCTAAATTTGTCTCAATTACTGCACACGAGAACTCTTTACTTAAGCACGCTCAGTTTTCGCAATGATACCTACACTGATAGCTATTCCGCAGCGAATGTATGCAAACAACGCCGATAATGGCTGCCTGCGACGCGAATGAATCAGAACTTTCAATGTCGATAACTCCAAAACGGTAGATTTTATCAAATTTATCAAGCCAGTTTCGAATGGAGCATGTACAATTACAGATAAATGTAAGTAATCTGGTAATTTTGAATGCGAACTGAACGCGGGTGTTACACTGCAAATTAACCCAGTTCAGTTATCTTTTTCTTTGTTTCTAACGAAATTTTCCTGTTTCTTAATACTTTGCTTAGATTTTGGAAGGCACCTTCCACAATCCC